CCCCCCCCCCCCCCCCCCACCATGAGAGAAGCACAAAAGAAAGCGTTCCCTTGGAGGAAGGAAGACGCAATTTCCATTTTGCTGGTGTATACCCTTTCCATGAGTACCACAATGTCAGGGAGGGTGAGCAGCAGGTGGTGGGAGAGAAGAGAGATATGAAAGAACCACCTGGAGAGTGAAAAGCTGAGGCTACCAGAGAAGCACAGTAAGGATGACTAATAAGGACTTTCCTGGTGGCGCAATGGCTAAGAATCCGCCTGCCAATACGGGTTCGAGCCCTGGTCCGGGAAGATCCCACGTGCCGCAGAGCAGCTAAGCCCGTGCACCACAACTACTGAAGCCCTTGTGCCTAGAGCCCGTGCTCCGCGACAAGAGTCGCCACCGCAATGAGAAGCCCGTGCACCACAACGAAGAGTAGCCCCCGCTCACCACAACTAGAGAAAGCCTGTGCTCAGCAACAAAGACCCAATGCAGCCAAAAACAAATAAATGAATAAGTAAATTTATTAAAAAAAAAAAAGAATGACTAATAAGGTTTTGGGTCTCAGATTTAAGATTATGAATTTAAAGTGAAATTTAATCTTCCCTATTTTGTGGGTTTACTCTGGCACTGCGATGCTACTTACACAGACGCACACAAAAGGCAGAGTTGACTTGACCTGGACTGGAAAGGGCATTGAGGGTCTGAGGAATTAAAGCTGGATGTGAAGGGGAAGTAGGTTGAGACCGAATTAAAAAGTGCTAGGAATTGTCAGTTCCCAAGAAATACTTACTTCTGAGAGTTTTTCTTTGCACAAAGGACAATGTGGGGCATGGTCCAGGCAGCGCTCGAGGCATTTTAGGCAAAACGTGTGTCCACAGGGCGTAGTGACAGGCTCAAAGAGCAACCTGGAGAAAACATCTGGGTTTTCAGCAAGAAATGTCCAGAAGACGTTTTCAAATAACCTTTTTATAAGAATTCTAGAAATCACTTATATCCATTTTCCACTTATAACTTCCTTAATCTTATTTTCAGAAAATAAATCAATTGTTATTGAGATATACGTAATCTCTCTAACAATAAAAAGCCCGTTATGTTTAGGATACAAAATTCAGAAAGGCTGAATTCTTCACAGTTGCGTAGATTCTCTGTCATCCTTCCTCATACAAAGGGCACACTCAAAATCAGCCACATCTATCAGGAGCTCTGCACTTTCTCCTACGTTAGAGCTCACGTTCCTTTGGGGTGAGGAATCAGCCTCTGAAAAAGTTAAATGCTATAATTAACACTTGCACATCTGGGTAAGAGCATGTGATAACTGTATTTCCTCTGGATAAACTATGTTACACCAATGTAACAAACCATGCTGGATGGGATTAGCAGTACAGCTGTCCCTCCGTATCCCCGTGGGGACTGGCTCCAGGATCCCCACAGATACCAAGACCCCTGACGCTGCAGTACCTTATGTAAAATGGTGTGGTATTTGCATATAACCTAAGCACATCTTCCCACGTACAGGCATCGCCCAGAGATATTGCAGGGTCAGTTCCAGTACACTGAAATCAAGTAAATATTGCAATAAACTGCATCTCACAAATTTTTTTTTTGGTTTCTCAGTGCATATAAAAGTTATGTTTATGCTATACTGTAGTCCATTAAGTGTGCAACAGCATTATGTCTAAAAAAATGTACATGTGTTAATTGAAAATAATTTACCGCCAAATGTGCTAACCATCTTCTGACAACACAGGTTTGCCACAAACCTTCAATTTGTTAAAAAAAAAAAAATCAGCAAAGCACAATAAAATGAGGTGTGCCTGTACATTAAATCATCTCTAGGTTACTTATAATAATATATGTAAATGCTATGTATTGATAAATCATTCCTACACAGGGCAAAAGAAAGTTTTGCTTTTGGCACTTTCTGGAATTATTTTTTTTCTGAATATTTTTGATCCATGGTTGGTTGAATCCGCAGATACTGAGGGCTGACTGTATACAGCCATAATTTATCTGTAAAGCATGAATAAAAGTGAAAGTTATACCTAAATTTTCTCTGCTATTTTTGACTATGAAGTCCTTGTACGGGTAAACATTTAAACTGTGCTACAATCTGGAAAGTGATATGTTCATTTCATTATCAATTTTAAACCACCTATATAAAATTTTTCTAAAGTATATGAGTATCAGCCAACATTCTATCACTCTAGGGTCACACACTCAGTGACAAAATAGCCTTACTGGGCTTCCCTGGTGGCGCAGTGGTTGGGAGTCCACCTGCCGATGCAGGGGACACGGGTTCGTGCCCCGGTCTGGGAAGAACCCACATGCCGCGGAGCGGCTGGGCCCGTGAGCCATGGCCGCTGAGCCTGTGCGTCTGGAGCCTGTGCTCCGCAGCGGGAGAGGCCACAGCAGTGAGAGGCCCACGTACTGCAAAAAAAAAAAAAAAAAGGTAGCCTTACTGACCTTTCTTGGGAATTTTTCCAGGACCGTTCACATCGTGCGCATCCTCCAAATCATTCGGAAACTGTCTCTTTTAACCAGTGCTCAGCGCCGCTGGAAGAAAACTTTCTAACACTTCCTTATCCTCCTCACAGTGTAGGCCCAGTATAAAATATAACACCGGAGAATTGGTATTTCTAAACACATCCTGTTTCTCAGATGGATTCTGGTTAAGTAGGAAAAAAGAATCCTGAATATTAAAGAAATCACAGCGTCAGAGAAAAAAAAAAAATCATGCAGTAGCCTTTCTTAGAAATCTCTGGAGAAAAAGAGAGCATATACTCTTCCTTCATAATTGGTTTCATCTATTAACTTCTAAGGTGAACTTTACACTTTTCATGGTAAAATATAAGGATAATTTCTTCCGGAAACAGATCAACTGAACACCAATCTTCATATATTCAAACCATCCCTCTGCTCTCTTCTCTCCAAGACAAAATAATATCAAGTCTCCTGAGGTTGTGGGTTGTTTGGAGATGTTCTAAAAGTTTCTTTCAATCTTCATTGATTTTCATTACTTCCATCAAATTCCATTAAAAGTGTCAATTCTCAGGCTGGGAAGCCAGAACTGGTCTTAAGACGTGCTTGTAGCTAACGTAATGCAACCGTCTGAGTAACTTGTAAATGTTCAAAATTACATAAAGCTTCATCAAGATAATATTGACAAACACGTGCACTTCCCACCTTAGAACTCCCTGCACTGCCACCTCCCTCCACAGGAGGCTGGCTGTTTATGTAGTTCTGACACTGCGCCGTTAATCTTGTGTTCAACATTTTGCTTTGGACGGAAGATGTTAAATTCTGAGGCACGTTTTCTGAAGCACGGAAAAACACCTCACACATTACCTGTAAAATCGCCAAGACGAAAAATATATATTTTAAGACAGTTTTGAAAAATACATCCCATACCTGAAAGACTCAGAGGAAACTCTGAGGCCAAACAGGCCTAAAACACTGACAAGAATAATTACCCTATTCCAACTGCCAACGTTTTAAAATTCAAGTGTTTCTGAAACCACAGTCAACATCTTAAGCATTTTAGCCCCCAGTTCCTGTCCATCTTACTCTTACCAATTACAAAATGTGAGCATTACAGTCTCTTTCAGTTTGGTCCTTACACACCTGCTACAGAAAATCTCCCCTAAATGTCTCAGGGATAAGAGAGAAACGTGGGGTGTATCGGTTGCAGGGGGTCCCAGACTGAACCTGAGCTGTGATGACCCACAGCTCAGGATGAAGATAGTTCTAGAGGGCTGCTTAATTTACAAGAGAACCAGAAGAGTCAACCAGTAAGAACTTTAAAGGAAGAGAAGGTGAAGGGACACAGTTCTGGTTCACCAGCTTTTGGTGGTGGTGGGAAGTGCCGGCCAGTCCCTCGATGGTCCTGCCAAACCTCATGGACTCAGCTGAATCCAAGGACTTAAGAGCATAGAGGATTCACTGAAACCTCAATGAAGATGCACCCACTGCGCTGCAGGTGACAGATGAGCGCACCAGAACCCACGACCTCTGCGGCAGTGAGGGTCAGCACCCCAGCAGGGACAGAAGTGTCCTCAGGGGGTCAGCAGAGCTGCAGGAGGCTGCCAGGGAGGGTACCACATCTCACGGGCATCAGGAGGCTGGCACTGTTTGGCGCCGTCTGTGACAGAAGATACCTAGCACCCATAAAACGCTGGAGGAAAAACATCTTGTCTGTATGCAAAAGCACCAGACAGGCAAGAATCCACAAGACCTGAATCCTGGTCCTGGGACCTTCCTGAATCTGCTTAATCTCGCTGAGCTCAGGCTGAACTTCTCATGATGCTGTTGTAAGGATCAGTTGGGGTAACGTATGTTTTACGATTCTTGTGAAAGTTGCAGGTGAGACAAAGCAGGCAGGAATCGTTAAAATTAGCCAAGCTCAAGATTCAATATTATTTTGACAAGTTGAAACCGGGATCAAAACCAATGAGTGACAACTTAACAGGATTAACAAAGACCAGTCAACTACACAAGGACAGGATAAAAAATATTGCTAGAAAGTTCTCATTTAAAAAAAAAATCTGGCTATTCTGGCTAATTACCGTTCTAATAGAAGCCAACAGTGTGATGGTAGGATAAAAATAAACTCCCAGTGAACACAGGGAAGATAAAAGCTCACCACCTGCAGCCACTGGATGTAGGGGCTAAAGTTCAGGGTATACAGCAAGGCAGCCAGAGGAGGAAACCTGACAACCCTGTTCTATGGGAAGAGGATGTTAAGTTCAAAGTACTAGTTAAGGTGAAGATGACAGCTCTTCTCTAATATCTAAGGGGGTTTAAATTAAGGAGGAAAAACTTTTCTCTTGCTCCAGAGACTAAAACTCAACTGTAGAGTGGAAATTACAGGGTAAGTGTACCGTACAAGTTGAAAATAAACAGTGTTAAAATATGGAAACGTTGATGTAAAAGCAAGGACTCCTTGTCATCGGAAATGCTAAGACGGTGTACCTACCGTACAGGCTTTTTTATAGGGCAGGTCCCTACATCAAGTGTGACTCGATGACCTCCAATAAGACTGGGTTAAAGATGTGCATAAAAGAGCAGGTGTTTCTGCTCCATGTTGGTGAAGCTTTGCTGAAAATTTCAAGTCAACCTATGTAGCTGAATTGATAACTTTTGCATATATCATGATGTCTCTTACAGGGCTTCTGCACAAACTACAGTCCTTGAATTACAAACTCTAGGATAAATCATTTTGCCGCCCCAGCTGCACACATCTACCCTGCCTCACTAACACGTGTCATTATTTCAGCAGAACTGAGGTATGTGTACACTGTCTCATGAAACATGCTGCATTATCGAATGCATGAACTCATCATTATCACTGTGTTTTAAATCACACTGTCATGAATATTCAGAACTACATTTCTTATTCATTTTACGTGTACAGCAGCTACTCAGCATGGACACAAAGGCTGAAAATAAGACTTCAAGGAGAAAGTCATTGAAAGGAAATCACACCTTCTGCACTTCTTTCTTCACTGAGTTACATTCAGGATTTAAAGCAAGGCAGTAGAGAAACTCCTTACTTCTTCCCAGTCCGGAAAGAGCCAGAGCTTTCACGTGATGTCCCTGGATTCATCCAAAGATATACATTTGAAAAAACAGTGTGATGATATACTTGTGTACAAACACCCCTGAAATCAAAAAAATCACTGGAACTGTTTTATTTGCACATTAAGTAGAATAAACACAAGCCCACCGAGGTTGGCTCTAGCTCTGCCTTCGAAACTGGGCAAAACTAATGTCACACAAGTGCAACACACAATCAGAACACAGGAGTCCATACCTGGGATGTGAGCCCAAAGCAGTCCCAAGGGACATGCTAAGAGAGAACTGACTGTCTACCACCCTTCACTCACCCAGTAATCACAGGTCACTACCATGTTCCTGTCTTCAAGGAGCAAACAGTCTTGTGGGAGCACACAGACAGGACAGACATAACTAACACAAAGTGTAATATACAAAGTTCCACAATGCAAATGAACAAAATGCAATACGGGTCAATATTTTCCAACAGCATTTTGTTTTTGCTTTATGGATGCAATGCGGCAACGAAGACCCAATGCAGCCAAAAATAAAAATAAATTGATTTAAGAAAAGAGAGGGCATACTTGTGTTGCTCCTGACCACAGAGAAAAGGCTTTTAACTTTTCACCACTGAACATGATTTTGGCTATGAGCTTGTCATATATAGCCTTTATTATGCTGAGGTTCATTCCTTCTGTACTTAATTTGTTAAGAGTTTATATCATAAGAGGGGGCTGAATTTTGTCAGATGCCTTTTCTGCATCTATTAAGATGACCAGGGCTTCCCTGGTGGCGCAGTGGTTGAGAGTCCGCCTGCCGATGCAGGGGACACGGGTTCGTGCCCTGGTCTGGGAAGATCCCACGTGCCGCGGAGCGGCTGGGCCCGTGAGCCATGGCCACTGAGCCTGCGTGTCTGGAGCCCGTGCTCCGCAACGGGAGAGGCCACAACAGTGAGAGGCCCGCATACCGCAAAAAAAAAAAAAAAAAAAAAAAAAAAAGATGACCCTATAATTTTTATCCTCCATTCTATTAATGTGGGGTATCACACTGACTGATCTGCGTATGTTGAACCATCCTTGCATCCTAAGGATAAATCCCACTTGATCACGTTGTAGTGATCCTTCAGTGCGCTCTTTACTTTGGTTTGCTGGTATTGTATTGAGAATTTGTGCATCTACGTTCATTAGAGATAATTGGCCTATACTTTCCTTCTCTTGCAATGGCCTTGTCTAGCTTCAGTATCAGGGTAATGCTAATCTCATAAAACGACCTTGGAAGTGTTCCATCCTCCTCAATTTTTGGAAGAGTTTGGTAAGGACTGGCATTAATTCTTCTTTAAATGATTGATAGAATCCCTCAGTGAAGCCACCTGGGTCTGGGATTGTCTGTTCTGGGAGATTTTCCATTACTGGTTCAATCCCCTTGATTGTTATTGGTCTGTCCAGATTTTCTAATTACTTCTTGATTCAAGACTTGGTAGGCTGTAAGTTTCTAGGAATTTACCTATTGCTTCTAAATTACCTAATTTGTTGGTTTATAAATGTTCAAAGTAGTCACTTTGAACCTTTGTAGTGGTATCAAATGTCTTCTCTTTTACTCATCATTTTATTTATTTGAGTCATCTCTTTCTTCCCTAGTCTAGCTAAGGGTTTGTCAATTTTAACTTTTCAAGAAACCAAATCTTAGTCTTGTTCATCTTTTATGTTGTCTTTCTCATCTCAATTTCATTTATTCCTGCTCTAATCTTTTTTACTCTCTTCTGCTAACTTAGTTTGTTCTTCAGGTTCTTGAGATTTAAGGTTGTTGTTTTTTTTAATTTTTTAAAGCATTAGTATCTTTATTTATTTATTTATTTATATATATATTTTTGGCTGTGTTGGGTCTTTGTTGCTGCATGCAGGCTTTCTCTAGTTGAGTGAGCGGGGGCTACTCTTCATTGCGGTGGCTTCTCTTGTTGAGGAGCATGGGCTCTACGCATGAGGGTTTCAGTAGTTGTGGCACGCAGGCTCAGTAGTTGTGGCTCTCAGGCTCTAGAGCGCAGGCTCAGTAGTCATGGCGCGTGGGCTTAGTTGCTCTATGGAATGTGGGATCTTCCTGGACAAGGGCTCGAACCCGTGTCCCTTGCATTGGCAGGCGGATTCTTGACCACTGCGCCACCAAGGAAAGTCCCTGAGATTGTTTATTTTAGATCTTACTTTTTTCTTAATGTAAAAGTTTATTGCTAAAACTTCCTTGTTAGAACTGCTTTTGCTGCATCCCATACATTTTGGTATGCTGTGCTTCCACTTTGGTTCGTCTCTGGATATTTTTTTATTTTCCTTTTGATTTCATCTTTGACTCAGTGGTTGTTCACAAGCCTGTTATTTAATTTCTATGTATTTGTGACTTTTCTAGCTTTCCTCCTATTATGTATTTCTAGTTTCATACCATTGTGTCTGGAAAAGATATTGGATAAAATTCCAATCATCTAAAAATTATTAAGACTTGCTTTGTGACCTAGCATATGATCTATCATGGAGAATGTTGTGTGCCCTTGAAAACATATATTTTGCTGCTGTTTGATGGAATATTCTGTATATGTCTATTAGACTCATTTGATCCAGTAGTCCATTATTCCTTATTCAAGTTCAAGTCCATTATTTCCTTACTGATTTTCCATCTGCATGACCTGGCTTCAGTGGATCATCTAAACTCACCTTCACCTAAAGTTGGCTGTGAGGGCACCAACTGGGTAGGGGTGCATAGGCACCATCTCCATGCAGATCTGCCAGCTGAGTTCAACACTGGCAATGACCGTGGGGACACTCAGCAGCCGAGACCGCCAGCATCCCATGGGTATCTGCAATGGCAGTGGCAGCTAGGGCTGCTGGGGTCCTCCTCTTCTTTTCTATGTGTGTGGGGGGATGTTCCAGCTGAGGGGATCCCTCTGTGGTACCAGGCCTGAGGCACTTGCATTCAGAGCAGCAGCAGAGCAGATGTCACGAGCTCAGTGGCAGGCAGAACTACCATGGCCCCTGTGGCCTGGGACACAGGCTCACTTGCTGTGATGATGGAGTCAGTATTTGAGGTGCAAGTGTGTGTACATCACCCATGGAACCGGGGTCTGGGTCTCCCTGCAGTGATTTGTATTTAAGGGGGTCAAGAGGGGGCAAGATGCAGCAGCAGCAAAGCCCAGGGATAACAGGGCACAGAGGTGTCCCAATTGAGGAAGAAGGGATGGAGCACAGAGCAACAGCTGCACAGTCTGGTGACAGAGTCAAAGTCCCAACTGAGGACCCAGGGGGCGGGGCACAGAGCAGCAGCTTCATGGTCCTGTGATGGCAGAGTAGCAGATGTATAGACCCTAACTCACTTAGGCCCTAGGGGGAAGGGCACAGCACAGAGGTAGCTCTGATTCCCACAGGTGGTGAGGCCCTGTGGCACCCTAATCCTCATGAGTGGGGCACAGCAGCAACCTGGGTTCCTGAAAGCAGGTCTCACCACAGTGAGAGCTCCAGCACTGGGAAGGAGACCCTGGGGAAGGACCCTGGGCAGCTCCATCATCTGGGTTCAGGATTGGTGAAGACTGTAAACATCCTTGGAAGCAAAGGCTGCAGAGGTCCATGGTGGTGACAAGGATTGCTGAGGTCCTCCTGTTCTCCTTTCCCCATGGGGTGAAATCCCTCTGAGGGTATATTTCTACAGACTTTTAAGTCTGTATCTTTGCATTTAAAATTGGTTAAAATTGGTAGACACCATGTAGTTAGTTGGTTCTTGCTTTGGTCTATTTGTGGTGCACTTCATCACTTCCTTTACATTTGAGTTACAATTTACTGTTTTCCTTCAGACTTGAAAAATTCCTTTAGCATTTCTTGTAGTACACATCTGCTGGCAACAAAGACATGTTTCCTAAAAATGTCTTTATTTCAGCTTCATTTTAAAGATACATTTTTACTGGATATAGACTTTTGGTTGAAAGGTTTCTTCTTTTGGCACTTTGAATATGCTATTCCAATGTTAGCTGGCTTCCACAGTTTCTGATGATATGTCATTAATAATCTTATTATTTTCCTGTATGTCGTTTTTCTCACTTCATGTCATTTTTCTCTTGGTGCTTTCAAGAATTTCTTTTTATCTTTGGATTACTGAGTGGCAGTCATTATGATGTGTCAGGGAGTGTATTTATTTGTATTTATTTTGCTTTGGGGTCATTAAGCTTCTTAGATCTGAAATTAATATATTCTATTAAATTTGGAAAGCTTTCAGCCCTTATTTCTTCAAATTTTTTTCTGCCATTTTCTAGCTTCTCCTTCTGGGATTCCAATTACACATATATTGTACCATATGTTTCTAAGATTCATTTTTCTTTAAACTTTTTTGTTTCTGTTCTTTGGATTGTGTAATTTCTATCACTCTAGCCTCAGTTTCACAGACTATTTTGCCGTGTGTAATGTGCTATTGAGTTTATATAGCTATCTTTTATTTCAGCATTTGTATTTTTCAGCTCTAGTATTTCCATTTTTTTATAGTTTCAATTTCCCCCTTGGGACTGTCTATTAATTCCAAGACACCACACTTTCCTTCAATTCTTTGGACATAATTTCATTTAATTCTCTAAACTTACTTATAATAGCTGCTTTGAAGTCTTTCTCTGCTAAATGCAACTTCCGGGCCCACAGGAAGACAGTTTTTATTGACTATCTTTTATCCTGAGTAAAAGTCAACAATTCCTCTTTCTTTGCATGTCTAGTATTTTTGGTTAACACTGGACATTTTACATAACATGTTGTATCAACTCTGCATTTTGTTGTATTCTTCTGAGGATTACCGGGCTTTGTTTTAGTAGGCAGTTAACTTTCCTGGATTCGGCTGCATCAACTTATCATTTGCTGGGTTATATTTCTGAATATGGGCAAATCATTTGCTAGTACTGGCCCATCTCTATTTGCACCAAAAGCTTGGACTCAATATCAGCCATGGCTGCTTGCTTGAAAGGATGGTTTTGCTTGGGTAAAACACCTGCTGCACCAGCCCCAACTGAAGCTTCCATCTCATCTTAACCACAGTTGGCCAACTTATCCTCCCTTCAGTCCTCTGAATTCACCTTCCAATGGCACTTCCTTTAGTTGCAATGGTAACCTGGAAATAAACTTTTGTCCTTTACTATCTTTAAGTGATTATCAAGGTTGCACTTCTGCTGGAGCTGTTCTTCACTAGACATATATCAAGAACTGAGATTCACAGATTTACAATAAACCCTGAAAATAAAACCCAAATCCCAAAGGCTAGAGATCCATTTGCTGCCTCCCTGACATGTAACTTTGTAGTAATTAAGTCTGTCTTTTGTCAGAGACACACTGCCAGGTTGTTAGCACAAAGATCAATACCGTGGAGAAGAATCTAGCTTCAAAGGGCAACGTAGGTCTACTGTCAATCAGAAATACTAGACTTGTAATTCACAGCCCTTAAGGCTCAATCACTACGGACAGGAATTACCTCAGAAGAATAAAAGATCAAGGGATCAGAGAAAAAGTATCAGAAATACGAGTAGGAAATGTATTTAGTGAAGCAAACAAGCAACAAAATAAATTTCCGGGCTTGGTCCAACAAACGTTGGCTTCCCATTCTTGGACTCATCCCCACACCCATCTTAATACTCAATCTAATACGAAAACATTTTTTTAAAGGATGACTGGTTGGATGAATGGACGGATGGAAGGAAGAAAGGAAGAGCAAGCTACATCCATCCTGTCTATTAACCTGGGTTAATGTTTCTTCAGTGTTTCTAAAACAAAGATGATTAAAAAGCAATATAGCAGGAGAAAAAAATATTTTTATTAGATAATAGAGAATGCTATAGGCATTAATCTCATCACAAGTTCTTTAAAATGTCTTAAGGGCTTTAAAATTCAAAAATTCAGGAAAAAAGTTACAACTTTTATTCTTTGGCTCCTTAAAGACCTCAAGGACAACTTAAGCTACTGTTATTAGGTTAGCAAACCTTATTTCGTGTCACTAGAGGAAGTAATATCAGACCTTTCCAACCAAGACACAGAGATTAAAATTATTACAAAATAAATACATACAAAACATTCACCCTTTTACTAACACCATTTATAGGCACCATGCATATTAGGGCCCAACTGCTAATCACTATTATTATGATTATAATAATAATATAGTATGTTCCTACTTAAACTGTAATTTTAAACATTTCCTCTTTATTCACCAATTCATAAAATTCTATTAGTTTGTTTATATATTTGTTCAGTGCCTAAGGCATATTATTCAGCTAATCATCTACTAATAGTAATCTAAATTAGTGTTTCCTATCCAAATCCAGTTGGAAACTTGGTCTTTTAAACTGAATTGGTTTATTATGAAGTGGATTGCTACACTTAGACTATCTACCATTTGAGGGAAATGTACTCTGTCCGTAGGTACTAATCACAATGATCTTACTTTATTCTTCAGAAAATCCCATACACAGGTAACTATGTTCAATATCCTGTGACAAACCATAATGGAAAAGAATATGAAAAAGAATGTATATACGTGTAACTGAATCACTTTGCTGGATGGCAGAAATGACCACAACACTGTAAATCAACTACACTTCAATAGAATTTTTAAAAATCCCATAAATTTACATTTATTATCTCCAAAGCCAACCTATACAAATACCTTAGGCAGGAGAGGTTCATTCTGACAAACTGCACTGGCGTCCTGCAGAGCCTGTTCATAGCTCTTCATGGATAAATACAATTCTGCTCGCAGCAGCAATAACGAATTATCACCAGGAGCTGAAAGGCATGAGGAATGGAAATAAATAAAACTGACTTCAGTTTTTAAAAATGATCTTTAAGTCATTAAAAATATTAAATCAGAAAACAAACATAAAGGTAAACTAAATAATACCTCCTCTAATCATGTGTAGAGTTTCATAGTTTGATAAGTATATTTTACATAGCTTTTCTCAGGAAATCAGAAAGAGAACGAGTGAGGTTTCAAAATGCACCAGCAAAAACAGACTGCTACACACACACTAGCTACAACATAATCTCTATTGAGTAGAGGCTGAATCATCTTAATGGTATAACTAGTTATTTAAAAAGAAAAGATTTAGAATAATTTTCTTGAAAGTACACAAGGAAATTCACGCTTAAAAACAGAAAAGTAAAACATCATTTGTTTTTCTATGCAACTGAGCGGGTGCAGATTCGTACCCATAATATGTTCAGGTAAGTGGGAAAAAAGGGCAAACAAATCTTCCTTTTCCCTGGATTCTTCAAACGGAAGAGATCCTGAGGATTACAGTACTCATATGCTACTAAGGACCTAAGTACAGCTTACAGAGAAGCTAACGGTGCTCTCGCTACGAAGTGATGACAGTGTATGAAGTTGTTGATTAGGCAGGGTACCGTGGAAACGTGATAAAGCCGGAGCTCAGGAAAGCAGAACCATCATGGCCACGTTTTTAGGCCGCTGGACAGAGTTCACTCTACCCATACTCACTGTAGTCTTTGAAATAGGGCTGAAGTGTGCATTTTAGTTCATCAATAAAATTCTGGGCGCCTAAAATGTGTTCTCATCTCTCCACTTAAGACGCATTTTTGGCCTGCTCCAAACCCTTGATCTTGACCTTTTTCTCAATCTAACCACTTGGTACTTTCCAAAGGCTACCACATCTCCTCTTTGTTTATAGAGTTAACTGGTCAAAGGTGCAGGCAAGGCATGGGGAGCAGGTATTAATTATGTCATTGCTACAAATGTATAATATAGAGAAGGTATGACAAGGAAAAAAGTGGGAAAAGGGAAAAGTAACAGCAGGAA